AAAGGTGGAGGGGAATCTCATTGGGGTTTAATCTGCTACTCTCTGATGAATAATACATTGAGCCACTCTCTGCTTATTGTCTATTGGCCCATCTGTATACCTCTGTGGAGAAGTATCTATTCAAGTCCTTTGCCCATTTTGAAATTGGAATGTTTGTCTTCCTGGTGTTGAGTTGTATAAGTTCTTTATTTTGGAAATTAACCCCTTATCAGATGTAGTACATGCAATTCCACTTATAAACCCTTAAAGTTTAAAAGCAGACAAAGCCTTTTGCTAAAAGAGCAGATCCAATACTATAACTGCTATATAATACTATAGCTTTTTTTTTCCTGTAGTCCATTGACAGGGAAGGGGCAGGAGGGGCCACAACAGGGTAGGGTGGGAGGGGAAGAGGCACCTGCTTCCCTGGTCCCTCTCCCCTCTGTGCTTGGGAGCAGAAGGAAGGGACAGGTTGTCCCTTACCCCCCAGAATGTAAACAGCAGCAGGTGAACAAAAATAAAAATACAAAAGACCAGAGGAAGGTCCCAGACATCCTCTACACACCTATCACCAGCACAGGTCCTCTCATTGCCCCATCCAACAAAGCTCTCTCAGTCCCAGGGGCTTCTTTGTGCTGGCCACATCCCCGGGGGCAGAGTCCAGTGCTCAGAACTGCTAGGCCAGCAGCTCACACACATGACAAGAGACAGGCTCCTTGCTTTTACGCAGGGTCAGCCGGTACATCTGAGCCTAGGAACTGGGCTCCAGCTGGAGCAAACAACCCAGCTGCAGGGCTGAGTCTGAATGACTTCAGCCACATGAAGTTCTCAGGGTTGGAGTCCACGTTGTCCAGGAGAGCAGAGCCAAACCTCAGGAACTTGGCCTTAGTGACATCAGCATCAGTGGGGTGGTTGGTTTTGAAGATTTTCTGTGCCTCCTGTTGGAGGAGGCTCAGCTGCTTCCAATGCTGGAGGAAGTCCTAGACTGCCATCGCTGTTGGCTGGAAGAACTTGTTGATGATCACCAAGAGCTTCAGGGTGAGGGACTGAGGGGCTCCCCCACCCCTGAAGCACACTGACAGGAGTAGGGGTGTCAGGAAGTCCCACAGTCACTCGATGTTGAGCATCTGCACCCCTCCGTCTACCTGCATGGCTTGGTCTGCACAGCCAGCTGAGTTTGGGGGTCTCCAGAGTGGATTACAGTGGGCATGAAGTTCTGGAACTGTACCAAGATCTCGTTGCCATAGAAGAGATGCATGTGGCCCAAGTTCAGCCTGAACTCTGACTTGACTCCAATCTGCAGCAGATGGTTCTCAAACAGGACCCCATTGTTCTTGCACACGAACTTATTCAGAAGTTCATCAACTCTGGGATGGGTGGGTCAAAGTCCTCAGGGGTTCAGGTCCCAAAAAAGGCCTCCTCAGGGGTGGGCCCTAGGCTAGGCTCAGTGGCTAGGCCACTAGACAAGACATCCACCAGGAGGTTGCCTACAATGGAGGGAGCCTGGGTTACTGCTGTGGCAGGGGCTGCCCACAGCCCCAAAAGGTCGTGGGAGGGGGAAGGCATCGACAAGGTGCTGGAGGTGGGCTCCACACCCCCACTGATGTTATTGCTGGTTGGATCCCTCCAGCCGTCCCCTGCCGTCCCCTGCCCCTTCTTGCTTGGCCAGGATGAACTACTCACACGGTGGCATCTCCTCTAGCACTCTCTAGCACTGTGACCAGGATGTACATGCTGGACACTGAGCTGAGGAAGAAGTATTCAACCACATGCTACTGCAGCTCCACATCTGCACTGCATAGCTGGGAGGCTCACAGCATGCCCTGGATGGTGGCATTGGTCTCCAGGAAGAGGTTGATGAACTTGAAGTAGGTGGACAGCACCATGGCCCACATCGCCACCAGATGGAACTTGGAATACAGCAGTGAGAACTGCACCGGGGGCTGGAGCGGGGCTCCCCAGCCATCAGATTCCCCATGTTCTTGTGACAGGCTGTGGCCTGGAGCAACTTAAACACAGTCTTAAATACCATCGTGGTTGATAACCTGCAGCATGCAGTACCACATCTCCTCACTCATTGTCACCTGCGATGCAGATGAGGTTGAGGATGGTGTCCACAACAGCTGCAGTCTGCTGTGTATTTCTTGGCCAGGATGCCACCTGCAGGATGATCTCTTCACAGATGGCGTAGTTAGCTGTCTCCAGGTACCACACCTCCGACATGATCTGCTTGGCACATGGGTAGAGAAGGTCAGGTGCCCAGTAGCATGTTGCCGTCCCACCCCATCTTTTTTTTTTTAGAGTTAATTTAACTAGCATATTATTAGCATCTTTTTTTTCTTTTAATCTTTATTGTTGAAAGTATTACATAGGTCCTCCTTTTTCCCCCATTAAGCTCTTCCAGTCCCATTCCATCTTGAAGGCATTGATGACAGTGTTGATGCAGGTCTTGACTGCCTTGTGGGAGACTTCAGAGCTGGCCAGCGTTCACATGCTCTCCAGGCTAGGTAGCACAGGTTGGTCTCCCGGTGCTGTAAGAACTGCCCCAGCTGATTGCAGGCCTGAACCAGAAGGTTGGGTTCACTGTCATAGTGGATAATGAAGCTGATGGTCTCAAAAAGGATGGCATTCTAGACATTGGAGTGCTAGACCTTCTTGGACTTGGGTGGCTCCTGGGCCTAGCTGAGCACTCTCTCCAGACACTCGACCAGCCTCCCTTTCACATCCGCATCCTCTGGCAGGAGTAGCACTACAGCAGCCACAGAAGCTTCACCAAGAGCTGTGTGTAGTACTGGAGGTCAGTGGAGGCTGAGGAGACAATCTGGCTCAGGTGGGACACATACGGAGAGATGCAAGTATGGAAGTCATCCATGTTCTTCTTATAGATAGGTGCTGAGGCTGACAGCAGTTGTGAGCACACCCAGGTGCTGGTCATTGAGCTGGTGCATAATGTGGGCCATCCACTTGCCCATGCACACTAGGTCGGGCGAGGACTTGTACAGCCTCATTGTGCACAGGGTCGAGTTCTGATTCAGGCTGTCTATGCTGCCACCAGGATGCAAGGGAAAGATGGGGTTGTGGCTGGCCAGGTCATTCTTGATGGCATTATTAATGAACCAGATCAGATCGGAGTTAGAGTTCACCAGCAATGAGATGAACAGGAAACCTATCTGCTTCTCTGTGTACTCGTTAAAGCTAAGCAGGTCCATGGCCTCCATGTGACCAAAATCAAAGTCATGGCCCAGCAGGAAGATGAAGAGCAGTTGACACACTTTTTTTTTTCTTACTGTAGCCGTTCAAGGCTTTGCCATCTTTGAATTTGGAGCAGATGATAGCCAGTTCCTGGTTGATTCTCTTAAAGTTCCAGATGTCAGAGATGAATACTTCAAGTTCCCACATCCCATCACCTTTGAACATGGCTGGCATGATGGTGGTGGTGTCACTCCAGGCCTGGCCAGAAAGGGCACAGCATAGAAGGGGCTGGCAGGCAGGGACTGAAAGGACTTAAGTAGTTCTGAGTAATTTAGAATCAAACTACTTCTCAAATTACTATGGTACAGAACCCTATATTCAACTAACCACTGGGGTTGAAAGTTCATGGACTATATTCACTCCTTTGCCCAGTTTACATCTAACAGAAACACATTCCCTGCCTACATAATGCTAGGAGTTTAAATAGTCACAGATAAGAGGCATATACACAATAAAGAGACACTCAGGCCCTAGCTGGCTTGGCTCAGTGGATAGAGCGTCAGCCTGTGGACTGAAGGGTCCCAGGTTCGATTCCGGTCAAGGGCATGTACCTTGGTTGTGGGCACATCCCCAGTAGGAGGTGTGCAGGAGGCAGCTGATCGATGTTTCTCTCTCATCGATGTTTCTAACTCTCTATACCTCTTCCTCTCTGTAAAAAATCAATAAAATATTTTTTTAAAAATTAACGTGGGGCTCTATTTAATACACAGAAACAAACACAGGGAGACAGGCAAAAAGAAACATGTCCCAAATGAAAGAACAGAACAAATCCAGAAAAAAACAAAACAAATGGAGACAAGCAATCTACCGGATTCAGAGTTCAAAACACTGGTTATACAGATGCTCAATGATCTCAGTGAGAACGTCAACAAAGAAATAGGAAACATAAAAACTAACATAGAGCCCTGGCTGGTTTGGCTAAGTGAATAGAGTGTCGGCCTGCGGACCAGAAGGTCTAGAGTTCAATTCCGGTCAAGGGCACATGCACGGGTTGTGGGCTCGATCACCAGCAGGGGCGTGCAGGAGGCAGCCGATCAGTGATTCTCTCTCATCATTGATGTTTCTATCTAACTCTCCCTCTCCCTTCCTCTCTAAAGTCAATAAAAATTTCTTTAAGAAGAAGAAAAAAAAGATCAAAAGTATGAATAATAAAATGGTTATAAATAAATATCTATCATTCATATGTTCATTGTAGCATTATTTATAATAGTCAAGATATGGAAATAATCTAAGTGTCCATCAATACTTGAATGGATAAAGAAGTAATGCATGTAAACAATGTATGACTCAGCCATAAAAAATAATGAAGTCCTGGCTGGCATTGCTCAGTAGTTAAGAGCATCAGCCTATGCAGCAAAGGGTTGCCGGTTAGATGCCCAGTCAAGGGCAGGCACCTTGATTGTAGGTTCGTTCCCTAGGTATGGTCAGGGTGCATGTGGGAGGCAACCAATCAATGTGTCTCACATTGATGTTCCTTTCTCTCTCTCTCGCCCCCCTCCCCCTCCTCCCTTCCTCCCTTCACTTTCTCTTCTCTAAAAATCAATGAGAAAATTAACAAACAAAATGAAATCTTGTCATCTGCAACAACATGAATGGACCTAGAAGGTATTGTGCTGAGTGAAGTAAGTCAGAGAAAGACAAATGCCATATGATTTCACTTAAATGTGGGATCTAAAAAAACAAGATAGCCTGGCTAGTATGGCTCAGTGGTTGAGTGTCTACCTATGAGCCAGGAATTCACAGTTCGATTCCCAGTTAGGGCACATGCCCAGTTTGTGGGCTCGATCCCCAGTGTGGGGGCGTGCAGGAGGCAGCCGATCAATAATACTCTCTCATCACTGATGTTTCTTTCTCTCTCTTCCTCTCTGAAATCAATAAAAATATATTTTTTAAAATAATAAAATTAAAATAAAAAACAAGATAAATTAGCAAAACAGAAACAGACTCATAGATACAAAGAACATTTTGACAGTTGCTAGATTGGAAGGGGACTGACAGGTAAAAAAGAAGTACAAATTGGTAGTTATAGAATAGTCACAGGGATATAAAGTACAGCATAGAGAACATAGCCAATATTATTATAATAACCTACATATGGTGTCAGATGGGTACTAGATTTATCAGGGTGATCACTTCATAAGTTGTATAAATGTCTAATCACTGGGTTGTACACCTGAAACTAATATAATATTGTACATCTTGCCGAACCGTTTTGGCTCAGTGGATAGAGCGTCGGCCTGCGAACTGAAGGGTCCCAGGTTCGATTCCGGTCAAGGGCATGTACCTTGGTTGCAGGCACATCCCCAGTGGGGGGCGTGCAGGAGGCAGCTGATCGATCTCTCTCATCGATGTTTCTGGCTCTCTATCCCTCTCCCTTCTTCTCTATAGAAAATCAATAAAATATTTTTTTTAAAAAAATAATGTACATCTACTATAAATGAAAAATAAAAACTTATTTTAAAAAAGATGCATGTGGGAATAAAACAAAGTATTTATATAAAGTATATGTGAAGTTTATTTCCAAAATGTGAACATGAGTGTTTTTATTTTTAATTTTTTTTTGTTAATCCTCACCTGAGGATAATTTTTCCATTTATTTTTAATGAGAGAGGGAGGGAGGGAAGGAAGAGAAGGGAAAGAGGGAGAGAGAGAGAGAAAGAGAGAGAGAGAGAGAAGGAGGGAGAGAAACATCAATGTGAGAGAGTCACATTAATTGGTTACCTCCTGCACACAACGCACCCTGACTGTGGCCAGGGAACAACCCTGCAACCAAGTTACCTTGCCCTTGGCCAGGAATCGAACCCACCACCCTTTGTGTGCGCGGGCCAAGGCTCTATCCACTGAGCAACACTGGCCAGGGATAAACATGAGTGTTTTTTATAATTTCCCTCAGTAAAGCTTAAATATTTCTACTATGCTATTATTTTTACAAACTAGCTCTATCAAGATGAAAGTATTGACAAAAGTTAACCTTATATAATATTTTAACCTATTCCACTTAAAATACAACTAATCCTCCAAGGGGAACAGCAGGATTGTTTTAGTTATTCATTTAACCTTCTTTCCTGCTAAAGGTTAAGGGCCTCTGAGTGCTTCATAATTAGTGGTGGTTAATAGAAGACAGGAATGTGATGAGATTTAGAAAACTAAAACAACAGTGAAAAGGCCACAACTAAAATACTTGAAAATTCAAATACTAAATGGAATTTAGTGGTGATACTAAATATTTTAGTATTTTTAAGTGCTTAGCAATTTTCTTTAACTTTAACCCACAAAACTATTTAAATAATGGCAGCAGAAAAAACTTGTAAAATGGGGATGTAAGCTCCCCCTATACCAGTGATGGCGAACCTTTTGAGCTCAGCGTGTCAGCATTTTGAAAAACCCTAACTTAACTCTGATGCCGTGTCACATATAGAAATTTTTTTTATATTTGCAACCATAGTAAAACAAAGATGCATATTTTTGATATTTATTTTATATATTTAAATGCCATTTAACAAAAAATCAACCAAAAAAATGAGTTCGCGTGTCACCTCTGACACGCGTGTCATAGGTTCGCCATCACTGCCCTATACTATGGATCAGGACTGCTTCCTTGGCAGACAAGTACCCACAAGTACAGGTCAATCACTCAAGAGTTTATAAATATCAGTCTGAGCCACTCCCAGAAGAAAACTGACAATAATACACTGTTTAAATAAAAGGGGCAAAATATGGATCAGTGATTGCCAAGGGCTAGGGGGAGGAGGGACTAACTCCAAGGGAAATGGGGGGAATTTTGAGGGGTGATAGAACTTGATTGTGGGGCTAGTTAACACAACTTAATGTATTTGTCAAAACTCAATTGTAACTCAAAAGGTTGACTTTTACTGTATATAAATTATACCTTCAAAAAATGAAAGAAAAAAAAGGTGTAGGGAAAAATTAAATTACCTATTAAAGAAAAAAAAAAAGTGCATGTCTTTTAAAACAGTATTTTTGCTTTCCCAACTTCAGACCTACCTACATTTCCCAACCATGGTTTGCCAACCACAGATGAAAAATAACTATTTTTGATTCACAGTTGGTTGAATCTGTGGATGAGAAAACTGTGGATATTAGGGGCCAATTGTAGAGTAAAAAATTATAATGGCTCTAGCCCAAGCACGTCAAACTCGTGGCCCCAGGCCCGCATGCAGCCCACAACGAATATTCATTAACGATTACTCATTATTTCAGCCCTTTGTATTCAGCATGTCTCTATCGAAATAAACCTACAGTTCTATGAAAATTAAAGCTTTTGTTTTTTTGCGGCCCACATAAACTTAAACCTTTTTTGGCCCATGTTAGCCTTTGAGTTTGACATGCTTGCTCTAGCCTGTGTTGCTCACTGATTAGAGCACTGGCCTGTGTATCAAAGGGTCTTGGGTTCGATTCTCGGTCAAGGGCATGTACTTGGGTTGCAGGTTTGATCCTGAGCCCCAGTCGGGGGTTCGTTCATGAGGCAACCAATCAATGTGTCTCTCTCACATCAATGTTTCTCTCTCTTCCTCTCCCTCTCTACTCTTGCTAAAAATAAATGGAAAAAAACATCCTCAGGTGAGGATTAATCCCCCCCCCAAAAAAATTATAATGGATTTTTGACTGTGTAAGGATCAGCACCCTTAACCGCCAAGTTTTTCAAGGGTCACCTGTACTTGATTTTAAGAAACATTAAAGTAATCTTGAGGTAAAAGATCACATAAAAGTTGCTTTCTCTAAAGTCATAATTTTGTCTGGTTTGTATGAGATACATTAAAGAGAAAATTAAAAGTAGAAAATAAATCATAGCAATTTTTATGTACTATAAAAACAGAACTTAAAGTTATGTATTTCAACCACATTCCTTGATGAGAGTCCTACAGACCCAGAAAAATGAGGAGTTTCTGTTTTCCCACCACAGGTCCTCTTCCCAATAACACCCTTTCCAATTCAGAAAGGCTGGGGTGAGCCTGTATTACATGTGGAACTAGCAATACTATTCCATCTATTGGAGATCTTACTCAATTCTACTTACCTACACAACTTGTTAGCAGCCTTTTTCTTAATCTGGACTTTATACCAGCAAGATGGGGCTTTTAACTTACCAAAAGAATTAGGAATCTCTTCTCAAAAGAAAAATAATTTAAGGGCAAAAAGAGGCTCTGGCAATCACCTTTCTGATCCAGTGTAACCTCACTCTCAAAAATAACCCTGTCTTCTCACTGACAGAAGATTGGCTAAAATCCTTACATCAAGGATTCCCTCAACTTCCTGGTTTTGCTCTGGTTTTACCTCTCTTAACTCTCAATTCTGTTTCTCAGGAATAAGCACCTCTACTATCTCCCAGCCCAACAGTTCACAAACATTTTAGTTTTAGGATCCCTTTACATTCTAAAAAATTACTGAGGAGTCCAAGGAGCCTTTGTTTATGTGAGCTATAACCTATCAATATTTACTGTATTAGAAATAAAAACTGAGAAATTTTTTATTTAAATTAAATAATTTAAAAATAAGATTAGCCCTAGCTGGTTTGGCTCAGTGGATAGAGTGTCAGCCTGAGGACTGAAGGGT